AGTCCTTTTTTTTGCATCCCCTCCGGAGCTCCCAGGGAATATTCTGGAGCACTGCTTGGGATGAACACTAATGCAAACTATGTAAGGAACCTCAGGTACCACATGGGGAAAAAAAAAAAAAAATCTGACGAAGTCCACTCAACCCACATAATCATTAAAAATAATAAATTATTGTTTGAAACAACCACACTTTCAGATAAGCAGAGCCCAAAAGAATAAGCACCACTTGCATTATGTCCTCAAGAGAGGCCCTCTCAGTAATGGGCCCCTCCTCCAACTGGGTCCCATTCCTTACATCACAGTCAGCTCCATCATCCTTATGATGCAATCACCTCTGGGAGTCTTTTCTTCTTTTTGCATCAGGAATTGAATTCAGGACCTCATGCTCACCAGGAAGGTGCTGTGCTGCTGAGCCAAACCCCTGGCCCATCCAAGAATCTCCTCATCCAGTCAACTAAGATTAACTGGCACAATTTCACCCCTTGTCAACCTGACATCTAATCCTATCTCCTTAAACCATGCTTAATATATATAAAAAAGATAGTAAGTCCATACTTGCACCCAATGTTGTAGCACTATCCTTTGTTTATTTCTCTCTTTTTGAGACAGGGTTTCACTCTGTAGCTCAGGTTGATCTCAAACTCACAACAATTCTCTTGCCTCAGCCTCCTGATTGCTAGGATTATAGTCATAAGCCACCACATCCAGCCAAGTGTGCATATCTCTTGCTAGTGCTCCTCCTCTGTGTTCTGCTTCTGGAACAACTTGAGCTACAAAGTGAGTTGAAGGCCAGACTGAAACCCTATCTAAAAGAAAAACAGTCTTCAAAAAAGTGCACACACAGGCAGGGTAGGGTGCACAGGGATGCTCCACAGGCATGTTCCTAGTGACCCACCTCTAATAGAATCTCACTCCTCCTAATAGCAAACGTAGCTAACCATCTCTCCTGGAGTCTCTTAACTGGTACCGTAGGGGTTTTTTTGTTTTTAATCTGAAAATCTGAACTGGGTTTTATCCTTCTCTCATTCATTTTCACTCTGCCTTTGTATCTGTTGCTGTTTCCATCTTTCTGTGGAATTTTAGGCTTGCCTTTTCCCTTATTCGATTTTTTCCCTCTACTTTTCACATTATTTCTATCCTTTAATAATTATCCTTAATTTTATAAACATTACATAAAACAAAATGCTAAAAAGACCAAATAGCTTACCATGCTCCTAAGCAGCAAAAGAATTAAGAACATGACTTCTGTTCCAATTCTCTTACCCTTACTTACCTAATGCTACTATCCAGTATTTCAAGTAGTTTTCATTAACACCACAAATAAGATACTAAAATTATTTTATAGTATATGGTTAGATTTCTGGACTTATGTGTAAACATAAGAATTATATTATTCTTTATGCCTATTTTTAAATACATGTTTTTTAAATGTTTTTTCATCATATCCTGTAGGGACTTAAAGTTTGACATATCAATGCTTGATGAAAAATACCTGTTTCATGTTATGCCTAAGATGTTTGATATTCAGACAGTGAGGTTAAGCTTAATAGCCTAGGTTGTATGGTAATAACAATAAGCTTCTCTTCTGGAGGGTTAATAATCTAAGTTTGCAGACCAAAAATTAGAGAAAAAGGAGGGCCGCAAGGAAAGCCAATATTTTGGCCCTAGCCCTCCAAGGTTAATTAAGACTCAGGACATATGAGAACTTATACTGTACATCATGTAACTCAGTAGTGTCCCAAATTTTCTGATCAAGGAGATTATGGGGCCAAAGAGGAAAGTGATCGATGATGTAGAGTGTACCTAAGGAGAGTCACATGGAGAGAAAACATTCTCTCAGGCTTTCACAGAGAGCACATTGGCCAAGCAATGGCCGTGACTCATCCACATGGCTGATACTGACAAAGGATCTACAATCTGAGGTACAGGATCTCAGGATAAATCCTGAGGGGATTTCACTGACCTTATCAGATCCAAAAGCTACCACTCTTGTTGCATAGGTCTTGCTTTATCTTGGTCTTAACTATCCAGCAGAAAAGTATAAAAATGAAGTATAGGAAGTAAAGCCATGGTGTTATGTTGAGCTGTAGGGGACTCAGGTCAACAATTTCTCACAGTGCCAGTGAAGTGGAAGACCCAATACTATTATGGAGACTACTGGACTCTTTTGGAATATATTTTGCTGAGTTAACACACCTATAATATTCAAATGATGGAACTGAACAAAAAAGGGGATACAGATGAGTGTCCATTTTGTATCTGTGTATTCAAAATGGCTAGGATAGATAGTTACATTCTCTTAATGAATAGAGGGATTTGTTCTAATAGTGTTTGTAAATAGGATATCATGTCTACATCTTGTACAGCATATAACCACTAGGAACAGAGTATGCAATGTGTTAATTATTGAAACTGTCCTACAAATTTGATTTGAAACTGTCTCTTTGCTATTTGTTTCTCAATAAATTAATTATGGAGAAAAGAAAAAGAGGAATTGGAAAGAAAAATATTATTTTATACACTGTATTAGGTTTTCATTGGTGGAACACAATACCCAGGATGCACATATCGGAGGAGAAGAGGGGGTTCAGAAGACATAGTCCATGGCTGGCAGCCACCAAGGCAGGACTGGCAGGAGGGCCTGATGGAACAAAGCTGCTCAGCTCATGGTGGTGGCTGAGGACCATACAGCACCCAAGGCTGCACCTCCAGGGCCCACCCACATACAGCCAGAGGTGTTAATCTGTGCTCTCAAGTCAATGAGCTGACAATCCAACTTAACTATCACATGGAGACAACAATGGTTTGGGTCAAGGTACATGTTCACCATTTCCTTTGTTCAATATTCTTGCATTTTAGAGAACTTTTTCTTTTTTATCTTTTTCTTCCGAGATAATCCTTCAAATTCCATTAGGTTTTTCAAAGTTTAGTACTATGAAACTGGCCAGGTGTGAACAACTTAGTGAGACCCTGTCTCAAATAAAAATAAATAAAAGAGAAAGGACTAAAGTTGTAGCCCTATGGTACACTGGCTGTGGACTTAATTTCTAGTACAAGACAGAAAGAGAAGAAGAAGAAGAAAAAAAGGGTCTCCAGTTTCCAGATATTTCTAAATAGAGTACCCTTTTAGGAGTTAAAAAATTGAAAACCACTATTCTAGAGCACAGTAAAAAAAAGTCCTCAGTTTTTCTTTATAAAGTGTTTTTATTTTGTTCTTATTCCTGAATATTTTGCTAAGCACAATTCTGTTAATAAAGTGTCTGTGGCCTCTTGTATTTTCTAGCTTCCATCTTACTGTTGAGTTCTTCCACCATTCTGCAGTTCTTTTAATGATCTGTCCATTTGTTCTGGCTACTTTGAAGGTATTTTAGATACTTTACAGTTTAACCAAGATATAAGTGAAGTATTCCTTTGGTTTATATTCCTTATTGTTTCTTTCCTTTTCTTTTTTTTTTTTTTTTTTTTTTTT